TTGCTGATGTACCAGATCGATGATACAGTTAAATAATTAATTAAAATATTCGATTGGTTGATATTCGCCTAGCGTAAAATCGCTGTTGTAAAACGTGAAACGCTTAGACAGTAGAAGCTGAAAGAGGCGCATCGACGGGTCGATATCAATTAGGATTCTCCTTCCGGTCACGTGTATTTGCACCCCCGTGTATTGTTGCCACGTGTCCCGCTGTGACTTTTAAAAAGACGTTGATAAGGAGGGAACGTCGTTTCCGGTTCCGACGTCAATTCACGAACAATGCTACCTACTCTGCGTTCCGACTGAATCACACGACCCCGAAGGGTTATCTGAAGTAGGTCTACGTTCCCATTAATGAAACTATCGATTCACTCTGCATAGCGATTAGACTGATTTTTATGCGAAACATTGTTCATTTTTTTTTATATATCAGACCTTTGACGATCTACTATTTTTTTTATGAATGCAGTCTTTTTACAATTAAATAAAAAATGTATTGACTTATCGTAGTATTAAAGTATTATAAAAATTAAGGACATTCGTTTTGCGCAGGGCGCTTACTCGCGATTCATTTAATATCGTGTTGGAAGGGTAGGCCAGAATACGATCAGAGAGAATGGAATAACGTATGCAAGACTAGAGGGTTAAAAGAGTCCACGCAAACATCTCATACATTACACGGAATTTCCACCCCACGGAAACCAGCCAATAAAACACCCCCGGAACACGGGTGTCGTCCACTCACCCTCCTGACCCGTAACTGCATTGTCGAACTTTTTTCGTTTTTCCCTACCCCGACGGTTCTCTTTTCCGCGCGTCCACTCCTCTCCCTTTTCACCGGGCGCTTTTCTAGTTTTCCTCCTTTTTTTTTTTTCTCCTCGGTTCTCGAAGTGCGTGTACACCCCCTCGATTACATTCGGAAATATTAGGGGACGCCCTGCCGTTCGGCAAACTATCAATTTATTCTATTCTACTGTTCGATTGCAATCCTAATTCCTTCTTCTCTTTCTCGAAAAGTTAACTTGAAATAAGAATCTCAGATAAACGAGGCCATCTAAATATCTGCTAGGTTTTATACGTTACGAAAAAGATTCATAGCATGATTTATTTAATTTATATCCACGAGTTGGACAACCCTTTAATATAAAAGGTAGAAAAAACGAGCAGTAAGAACAAACATAATATATACTAAAAAAAAAATTACAAGGTATTTCATAAAATAAGAAAGGAATGAAAATCAGAATACAAGGCAATTGACTGATCATTAATATTAAC